TGGACTAACCATAAGATGGGCAGATACTCAAAGCCTGCTGCATTCCCGTTAGACTGTGGGGAAATGATCAGATATCACTGAGTTCCTTTTACATCCAAAAAGAAAATGGGAAAATTTCTGTCTACAGGTTGATTAGGCCAAGAACAAGTACAATTTAAAAAACTCTTCTATTTTGGTAGATACGGTTTGCCTGCAGAAGTTAGGTTTAGCCTGTCTTTTTACCTCTAAAATTGTTATCTAAGCTTTCAAATGATAGGCTGTGACATTTAGGTCAAAAGGAAAATCTCTGAAGATCAAAATCTTCTTGATTAAAAAAAAAATGTATTTTTCCAACTGACCAACCCTAAAATGGAGCTTGAGAAACTCTAGTGTGGGGGCCAAATTTGGCAATGCCATTTATCTTATGCACAGCCTGAGAGGTAAGACTATTTTTTATACTTTTCAGTGGCTGGGGGGTGGGGAACAAAACAAAAAACACAAACAGAAAAGAATTCTGTATCATGTGAAACTTGCAAGAAATGCACAGGGTCCATAAACGAATCCCATGAAACCCCAGCCGTGCTCATTCACTTTGCACTATCTGGTAGATCTGGGTAGCTGGGATAGAGACTGTGAGGCCAGAGAGCCTCCCCCATGTCTTATGTGGCCCTCGAGAGACAGTCTGCTGACCCTGTGCCTAAAGACACCGTGAAGTGAGAACTTTAGATGTTTCTAGGATGCTCTTCAAAAAAAGAATTCTAACCTTGCTACATTTTGCATTCTCAAAATCATGAGTTTGTAATACTTTCTTTTGCATCCGTTTTGGAGAAATATTTTATTATTTTCTCAAACTCTGCCTGGGAGCCCATTTTTACCAGGCATTGGTAGCTGGGTAAATTCTGCAAAACACGTATCATCTAAAACTGTGTGTGTCCATCCTTGTGTATAAGGTGGAGGTGTTCATATTCCAGGTTTATTAAACATTACTTTCTCTGAACCAGAAGCGGACGTTAACTTGCACTGTCTACATAAAAATCCCGCTAGTTGACCGAAGGAGACGCTGTACCTGGTTTGATTAGAACACACAAGCTTTCTTTGACTCTGTGCTGCCTGCTACAGCCCCTATCTGGGAAAAGATGTCATGAACTAACATTTTACTCCCTAGTTTTCACTTTGCATAATGTAAAGCACTTCTTTAAAGACCAGCCTCTTACTGGTTACTGCTACCTTCCAACCTAGTCTTACGTCTACAGCACTGGGATAGAGACCTTTTGTTGGTGGCCCACATGACTCAGGGCAGCTGAAAGTGCCCACTTATTCCCCAGGAAGCCATTTTGCTCTTCCTTTGTTGGCCTAAGGTCCTCTGGCAGTGTAGTGGTTATGCACTGGGCTGCTAACTGCAAGGTCAGCAGTTTGGCACCAAAGGTGATTCCTTGGGGGAAAGATGAGGCTTTACACTCCTGTAAAGAACTGCAGTCTCAGAAACTCACAGGGGCAGTTCTACCCTGTCCTACAGGGTCACTACGAGTCAGAATCTAGTTGGTGGCAGTGAGAAGAAATTGTGGGAAATCCAGGATGGCAGGAGATGCGGCCTGTGAGCTGGTGCTAGAAACTACCAGGAGTCAGTAACAATTCAAGGCTGGAAGGCTTCTCAGCTTTGTGGATTTCTGGTTCTAAGAAACCTTGACCTCTTTGAAACCTTTCTAGGCATCACTGCTACTTTCTTGACCTCTGCAATCGATGCTACACTGTGTCGTCAAGTTGTATGAACTTCAGGAACCCTCTAGAGACTCTGGATTGACTAACACCTAGGGTAGCATAAACACGCAGACACAAATGCTCCTAAGACCCAGGCTGCTGGCACGGCAGAATGTGACGTGGACTGTGACAAGAGGAACAGTTTGCTCACTTGTACATCTAGGACTACCTCCAAGTGCAGTTTGAAGCTGTAGCTAGTTTTCCTGCTTCTCAGATGTAACCTCTCATTTGGACACAGCATAATTTGCCATTGTGGATGTAAGGAATCCCACCAAGACTCTCTGGGACTATTAAGACCCTTGGCTTCAGTGGGTCTTAAAATCCACTTCCTTCTACGAATGGAGCTATAGGGATGCAACTCTGATCTCTACACATTTGATCTAAGATTTGGCCTCAAGAAGATTATAATGATGAGCTCACCTGAAAATCTTCATTCAGAAAACACAACCAACCAAGACAAAAATAAAATAAAATGCGATACCTGTCTGAGGTTTTCAGTTTGTCAACCACTAAAAGATTCATGCAGTTTTTGGTGATACAGACGAGGATTTGCCAGGGTCATGTTTGGGCTAAGAGTCCCACGTTAGTCTAGCTTTAGATGTGGATTTCTCAGGCTTTCTTGCTAAAAACGTCACAGCGTGGTTACTCTGACAAATCATGCTGCCAAAACCTAGCTGGGTGAGACCACCGTGTGGAAAGAATGTTACAGACCTCGGAAGGGCTGCGGCTTCAGTTCCAGGCACCGCAATAAAGTGGGCGCCCGTTTCTGTTAATACAGCGTTGTTGTTTTTTAAGTAGTGAATTCCACAATAAAGCAAATACCATAATAACACGATTTTTGAGAACCCCAGTGCATTTAAAAGTTACATATACCCTGCACTGTAGTCAATACCAAAATAATAATAATTAAAAAAGCAAACCCAAAGTCACTGCCCTGTAGTCTCTTCTGCTTCATAGCAACTCTAACGGGGATTTCCGAGGCTGTCAGCCTTTACAGAAAGCAGCAGAAGTCTTCTCTTTCTCCCACCAAGTGGCGGATAGGATTGAACAACCAACCTTGTGGTTAGTGGTCCAACACTTAGAAAAAAGCCTGAGACACTCTGGGAAGGTCCACAACATGAGAGAGAGAGAAATGGAGCTGAGCACATGCTGTTGGAAAAATGGCCCTGGGAGACCTGCTCAGTTGCCACGAACTCCGTTTTAAGCAATGCCAGTATCTTCCCAGTGCACTAGAACCAGGCGTGCCTGTACAGAGAGGTCAGAAGGTCAGGGATTTCTTCAGTCCCAATTCACTGTGTGGCCCAGCACTTTCACTCGTCTAAAAAGACATCAAGAAAGGACAAACCACACAGGGATGGTCTGGAAATAAAACGAGAAACAAAAAAACAGCAGACTTAAAAGTGCCCGCCTGTGAACATGAAAGGTGTGGCAATGCAGCCCCCCCCACCCACTCCCCTTTCTCTTGTGGTCATTTCCACCAGCCTGGAAGCTGGAGGTGCACAGCATGGAGATGCCTGCTCCCCGCACTCCGGAGCCGGCTGCTCGCAGGCTCCTCTTCCCATCCTGCCACTA